ATTATCAATTGACCCCAGTCAGTCATTATTTTTAAAATGTAAGATATTTAAGATAAATATTTACAAATATCCCATCTCAATATATCCCATCTAAGTATATGTTTTATGGACAGCACCTAAAAATAATAAGCAATATTGATAAAATTGGGATATTAAGGAAATGAATCATTTCCTTTCAGAATGAAAGTGACCTGATTCTGTAAGATGGAAAACCTGATATTTATCCTCTTTGCATGCAGGGGAGGTGTCATGTTAGTCAGCTTGCTTAACCTTCCTGCGCTGTTTCCTATATTTGCTTTGTTCTTATTAAAATTAACCTCAAATGGTAAGCATTCTGATAAATGGATACCTGCACAGTGTTTATATTTCTCTTAGACAAGTTCTACGATGTTGGACTAGTCCTGTTTTGTGGCATTCATAAATTTAGGTAGAACACTTTATTCTCTGTTGGGAGAAACTCTCAATCCTGCTATAACTCTGCATTGAGTTATGCCTCTTTTATGATTTACTGACCACTTTCTGAAATGCCACAATCTGAAGACCTTCCTTATAATTTCAACAAAGAAAATATGTAGGGCGGGTGGGAGGCGGGAGGAGGGGATGGGTATATTCACACCTAAAGGGTGCGGTGTGTACTGTCTGGGGGATGGGCATGCTTGAAGCTCTGACTCAGGCGTGGCAAAGGCAATATATGTAACCTAAACATTTGTACCCCCGTAGTATGCTGAAATAAAAAAAATATGCAAAGTTTTGTCATTAGTCAAATGTTATTGAACTTTAGGGAACAAAGGAGGGGCATCACAGCACTGCAGAGTGCAGAATAATATGGATATGAAACTTTGGTCTTAAACTGAACTGCAGCCGTCTTCAATTGCTGATACTCAATATGGAGAACACTGATTTTGTTCATATTCTCAGGCCTTTTGACCATAAATTTATGACTTTGGTTAGTGATTGAATGGAGTGTAGTGTGTGTGTGCGTGTGTGTGTATGTATATATATTTTACTCAATAGAAAGCTTTTTGCCTCAAGGGGATATGCATCCCTTAGAATGCAAAAAATGACTACTGCTAG